ACTCATCTTGATGTATTCATCTTTATGTACTCATCTTGATGTACTCATCATGATGTACTCATCATGATGTACTCACCCTGATATACTCATCTTGATGTACTCACCCTGATATACTCATCTTGATGTACTCATCTTGATGTACTCATCTTGATGTACTCATCTTGATATACTCACACTGATGTACTCACCCTGATGTATTCATCTTGATGTACTCATCTTGATATACTCACCCTGATGTACTCACCCTGTTGTACTCATCTTGATGTACTCATCTTGATGTACTCATCTTGATGTACTCACCCTGATGTGCTCATCTTGATGTACTCACATTGATGTACTCACCCAGATGTACTCATTTTGATGTACTCATCTTGATGTACTCACCCTGATGTACTCATTTTGATATACTCATCTTGATGTATTCACCCAAATGTACTCATCTTGATGTACTAACCCTAATGTACTCATCTTGATATACTCATTTTGATGTACTCACCCTGATGTACTCATCTTGATGTACTCATTTTGATGTACTCACCCTGATGTATTCATCTTGATGTACTCACCCTGATGTACTCATCTTGATTGACTCATCTTGATGTACTCACCCTGATGTACTCATCTTGATGTACTCATATTGATGTACTCACCCAGATGTACTCACCCAGATGTACTCATCTTGATGTACTCATCATGATGTACTCACCCTGATGTACTCACCCTGATGTACTCATCTTGATGTACTCATCTTGATGTACTTACCCTGATGTACTCATCTTGATGTACTCATCTTGATGTACTCACCCTGATGTACTCATCTTGATGTACTCATATTGATGTACTCACCCAGATGTACTCTTCTTGATGTACTCATCATGATGTACTCACCCTGATGTACTCACCCTGATGTACTCATCTTGATGTACTTATCTTGATGTACTCACCCTGATGTACTCATCTTGATGTACTCATCTTGATGTACTCACCCTGATGTACTCCTCTTGATGAACTTATCTTGATGTACTTATCTTGATGTACTCAACCTGATGTGCTCATCTTGATGTACTCACCCTGATGTACTCATCTTGATGTACTCTTCTTGATGTACTCATTTTGATGTACTCACCCTGATGTACTCATCTTGATGTGTTTAATTCATTAACTTTTTTTTCTTCTTATATTTCATATTTACTGTGTACTGTGTTCACTTTCGTAAAATTTTCTTTTAGAATATAAATAAATTGAATAATATATTTTTTTGAATTTTGAATGTCGTGATCATGTCCGCCTTGTTTGCTCTATTCTTCAGAGTAGTGAGATCAAGTTCCTTCGGTTGTTCTTCATAGCTCAGTCCCCTCAGCTCCGGGACGAGCCTCATTGCATATATTTAAAATTTTAGTAAATTTTGAATTTCCTCATGTAGGGGTTCCACGCCGGGACCGCATACTCTAGATCAGGTGCTACATAGGTCGTATGTAGCATTCCGATGTGTCCCGGGCGTGTATGTGTCTATCCATGTGTCCTGGACGAGTACGTGTTCACCCATGTGTCCTGGACGAGTACGTGTCCACCCATACTTCAGGTTGTACAGAGTACAAAACTGTACAACCTCTATCCTCAGTACCTAAGTGGACAGTACCTCTGTCCTCAGTACCTAAGTTGACAGTACCTCTGTCCTCAGTACCTAAGTGGACAGTACCTCTTTCCTCGGTACATAAGTGGACAATACCTCCAGAGGGATAGATAAATCAATTACTATCATGACCTAACTTAACCTAACCAGGAGACGGTTCCATTCCCTATCGTTCAATCCACTCTGGGCCCCGGATCAGCATCGCACACTGGAGAGAGTAGAGACAAGTCAACTCCAACCCTTCAGACCAGATAGATGAAGCCGGGAGAGGTCAGTCAAAGGCGAGGCACCGAAGGCTTCTTCATTCCACTAATCAGAGATCGCCTTGAGACGGGTTTCGAATCCAATTGCCTCAGTCCGCGACATCGTTCCGGGTCCCCAGATCCTCTTGAATCGACTCCTTCGACGACTCACAACTGTAGGGAGTGAGTGACTGTATTGGATTGCTGTCCCTTGTTGAAGCCTCTTAATTAAATGCCACCTTGGAAACCGGCCACACGGTCAAGTTCCGTCGCGTCAGGCGGACGACGAGTGCAAGAGAACGACGGCCAGTGGTTGCATGTTGCGAACTCAACATTCATTTTAAATGTTACCAATGAAAGAATGAAAATACAAGCAGCTCGAGAAGCGTTGGCCATTGAGTGAGTCCAGCAGAGGCTAGCGACTTTAAACTCAAAACCATCTTGGTTCGAGACCCCGAACAGCTCCGGTGAATGGTCAATACGGGTGAATGGAAGCCGTATTGATCTTCACAAGAAGCTCCTTGACGTTGGAAAACTGCAGAATGACTTACAAACTACATGCAGGACGTTCCACAGTACACTAAAGGTCCCATGAAACTTCCTACAAGAAGTTCAATAAGGAAACAAAGTTATCATAGAACTTCTACATCCTCTATCTACACATTGAGCAAATCTATACTATAAGACCGAATGTCTCTCTGTCAGTCTATCCTGGTTGATACCTGGTTGATTGGGTTCTGGGAGGAGTTCTACTCCCCAAGCCCGGCCCGAGGTCAGGCTTGACTTGTGAGAGTTTGGTCCACTAGGCTGTTGCTTGCAGCGGCCCGCAGGCCCACATACCCACCACAGCCCGGTTGGTCCAGCACTCCTTGGAGGAAACAACCTAGTTTCCTCTCGAAGATGTCCACGGTTGTTCCGGCAATATTTCTTATAGTCGCTGGGAGGACGTTGAACTCCCGCGGACCTCTGATGTTTATACAGTGTTCTTTGATTGTGCCTATGGCACCTTTGCTCTTCACTGGTTCTATTCTGCATTTTCTTCCATATCGTTCACTCCAGTATGTTGTTATTTTACTGTGCAGATTTGGGACCTGGCCCTCCAGTATTTTACGTGTATATTATTTGGTATCGCTCTCGTCTCCTTTCTAGTGAGTACATTTGGAGAGCTTTGAGACGATCCCAATAATTTAGATGCTTTATCTCGTCTATGCGTGCCGTATATGTTCTCTGAATTCCCTCTATTTCAGTAATCTATCCTGCTCTGAAGGGGGAAATGAGTACTGAGCAGTACTCAAGACGGGATAACACAAGTGACTTCAAGAGTACAACCATTGTGATGGGATCCCTGGATTTGAAAGTTCTCGTAATCCATCCTATCGTTTTTCCGACTGCCACAATATTTGCTTGGTTATGCTCCCTAAACGTTAGGTCGTCGGACATCATTATTCCCAAATCCTTGAATGACTTGACGTGAGATGTAGAGAGTTTGCTGGAGATGTGAGGCTCGCTTTCAGAAGGTCTTGACCTCACTTGAGCTGAAGAAACTGTGAGCAGAGGTCGTGCTCCATTTGAGCCCCTGGTGAGGAAGAACCCCTGGTTGATATACCTTGAAGAAGAAGGAAGTGGACAGATGTCTCGATTGAGGAATAAGTCTGTGGTCGTGTCAGCTCAAGTTGTAGAAAGAGTGTGAAGCAGTTTAAAGCAGTTTTGTGGGCAGCTTAGAGCGCCCTGGAGACGACCTCTCGGTCAGTGAGAGCCCTGAGCGGACCAAGTTCTATGGTAACCCATTTTAAACCAGTTGACAGTGATTGCCTGTAATGGTAGTGTGCCCAGCGGCCGTAGCAAGTGTTTATGATTATATTAGGCATATTTTATTAAGGCAGAAAGCCTAAAGAAAAAAATTAAGATGAGGGAGCCAACTAGAGGGATGAGCAATACGACCTCCCTTGCAGAGCCCCTGAGGGCAACTGACAGGGCCAGCCTCCGGCTGCCTCAAGAGCGAGGAGCCCGGCCGGGCGGAGGGTGGAACAGCCCAAGCGTGGGGGAGTCCCCCTCAGAGCATGTGGGAAGCAGAGAGAGATGTCGGATAAAGACATTTACTGTGTAGTTTATTTAAGATATTTGTTTATAGGTAAACATTTTTATTGGCGTGTCAATAGGTTGCAGGTTTGTCTGGGGGAAGGAGTTGCTGAGAACTTCGAGCCAGTAGAGGAGGAGTCAGTGGATGGAACTCCAAGGCTATTGAAGAAATACTGAGCTCTATGGAAGAGCACCCCGATAGGAGGAGTAAGATCTCAAGTTGTGAGAGGAAAATCAGTGGAGTAGAGTTTCACGTGTCTCTGTGGTACCAGTGGTGAAGCACCATTGTTGTTTAGGGAAGATTTCATGGTGTAGCAGCCGGAAGAGCTGTGGAAGACCCTGGTAGACAATTTTGTGAGAACGTGAAGTGTTCAGGGTAGTGAACCTCTGGATGCAGAGAGGAGGTTCTTATTGATTACTAATAGACGGTTGATAGAGTGTTTGAGTATCATTAGCATGCATGACACAGTTTTTTTTTATTATTATTATTTTCTATCACAGACGTGACCAGACATTTACAATGCTAACCAGCATATATACATTTTCTTCTGTCCTCCATGGACAGGGTTAGAGAGGTGTTAAACATATGACCCAGTGGGAGGTGAGTGATTGGACGTTTGTTGTATCCAGGGATATTTATACTGATGTTTATGTTGTTGCAGACATAGGCTGGATTCCTTGTGTATATTTATTTATATATATTCTAGGGCTGATAGTGCAATTGTATTACAATATTTAACCCACTAGGTGAGGTTAGTAGCATAAGTGGTGAGCCAGGAGTTGGGCTACTACTTGATGTAAGCAGCTGACTCCTGATGGGATTGGATGCAACCTGCTTATAATAGCATAGAGTGTTGGAGGTCATTATTATACACTATTTACACCACACGCATGGGTGGTATAAATGTTTTCTGTCCATTACATGTATGTAATCTACAGGTGTTTGCTCTTCTCCTTCTGAGGCTTCCCAGAAAGTAGGAAAGAGAGAGAGAGATAGAGAGACAAAAAGAACCACAGCTGTGGTGTTACAGAATTCTAATTCAAAGAAAGGGAGATTGAGGAGGTCATACAAAATAAGGAGAGAGTGCAGAGTCAACCACCCAACACCCACCTACCCAACACCCACCTACCCATCACCCTCCTACCCATCACCCACCTGCCCAACACCCACCTACCCAACACCCTCCTACCCATCACCCACCTACCCAACCCCCACCTACCAACACCCTCCTACCCATCACCCACCTGCCCAACACCCATCTACCCAACACCCACCTACCCTACACCCTCCTACCCATCACCCACCTACCCAACACCCACCTGCCCAACACCCACCTACCCAACACCCTCCTACCCATCACCCACCTGCCCAACACCCACCTACCCAACACCCACCTACCCTACACCCTCCTACCCATCACCCACCTACCCAACAGCCACCTACCCAACAGCCACCTACCTAACACCCTCCTACCCATCACCCACCTACCCAACAGCCACCTACCCAACACCCACCTACCCAACACCCTCCTACCCATCACCCACCTACCCAACAGCCACCTACCCAACAGCCACCTACCCAACACACTCCTTCCCATCACCCACCTACCCAACACCCACCTACCCAACACCCTCCTACCCATCACCCACCTACCCAACAGCCACCTACCCAACACCCACCTACCTAACATCCTCCTACCCAACACCCACCTACCCAACACCCACCTACCCAACACCCTCCTACCCATCACCCACCTACCCAACACCCACCTACCCAATACCCACCTACCCAACACCCTCCTACCCATCACCCACCTACCCAACACCCACCTACCCAACACCCACCTACCCAACACCCTCCTACCCATCACCCACCTAGCCAACACCCACCTACCTAACATCTTCCTACCCATCACCCACCTACCCAACACCCACCTACCCATCACCCACCTACCCAACACCCACCTTCCCAACACCCACCTACTCAACACCCACCTACCCAACACCCACGTACCCAACACCCACCTACCCAACACCCACCTGCTCAACACCCACCTACTCAACACCCACCTACCCAACACCCTCCTACCCAACACCCACCTGCTCAACACCCACCTACTCAACACCCACCTACCCAACACCCACCTACCCAACACCCACCTACCCAACACCCTCCTACCCATCACCCACCTACCCAACAGCCACCTACCCAACAGCCACCTACCCAACACCCACCTACCCAACCCCCACCTGCCCAACACCCACCTACCCAACACCCTCCTACCCAACACCCACCTACCCATCACCCACCTACCCAACACCCACGTACCCAACACCCACCTACCCATCACCCACCTACCCAACACCCACCTACCCAACACCCACCTACCCAACAGCCACCTACCCAACACCCTCCTACCCATCACCCACCTACCCAACAGCCACCTACCCAACAGCCACCTACCCAACCCCTACCTACCCAACCCCCACCTACCCATCACCCACCTACCCATCACCCACCTACCCAACACCCACCTACCCAACACCCTCCTACCCATCACCCACCTACCCAACAGCCACCTACCCAACAGCCACCTACCCAACAGCCACCTACCCAACACCCACCTACCCAACCCCCACCTACCCATCACCCACCTGTATATCACAATTAATTTAAGAGCCATACTCTCACAAAATGGGTGATACAGGCGCTAAGAAAGTATTACATTATTATCGCAATCGTCCGATGCTGGTTCTTCTTCAGAATAAAACACTGATATATAAATAATATGCGTAACAATTATATAGCCAAATGATAGTGTTAGTAAAATAATAATGCTCTGTTAAAGATCAGTAATCAACTAAGGGTTATCAATAACTACATAAGTACTATGACAACTTAGCTGTTTGGTTCATATAGGTGTATGGGTATAGGGCAGTCACGTCCTCGTGCTTGCTGTAACAAACTGTCTGGACACGCACATGGACGGATAGTTTAGTTCTCCTCTTGTCACTATGGCTTCAGCTGAAATCACGATTAAAATGAAGAGAATGCCTTGGCCAGAGTGAATATACTACTATTTCTGAATAAATAGTGAGGATATAAGCGAGAATGAGACTAACGTTGATGATGTTGTGGTCTCGCGTCCTGACGACGAGTTACATCCCCATTTATTATAATTCACAAATAAACAACCATCAGTAGGAAATTGTCAACATTACGCTCGCCGGACGAGTGCCTGATGTAGGCTGTAATCACTCTCCATCCCTGGCACCTGCGCCAGCAAGGATGACACAATTATGGGCCGATGTAAACGTGAACTCCTGGACACTGCTTCTTATCAGCAATATGGCTGCTGAGGCTTACCTCCTTCCTCTCCGTCTCGTCCGCGCATGCGCAAGAGACGGCTCGTTGTTATGGAGAGTTATTCTCCTACGAGTTTCTCAACCGCGTGAGATATTAAGACTTGGGTTTATTATGACGAAGGCAATATTAATGATGTTTTCGTCGTATAATTATTAACATGAAACTGTTTTCATATGGACGAAAAATAAATGAAAATGGATGGAGAATTTCGTTCCTCCATGTTAACTTTGGGATAACAGATTACTGTTATCTTGTGATCTTAAGCTAATAACGCGAATTGATGTGATCAATGATTTACGTAGTATTAGTCATTGATTCTTAGCAAAGAATACTGATACGCAGTGAGAATAGAACTAAATTCTCTTGTAAAAATATATATATATATATATATATATATATATATATATATATATATATATATATATATATATATATATATATATATATATATATATATATATATATATATATATATATATATATAATATATATATAAGTATATATATATATATATATATATATATATATATATATATATATTATATATATATATATATATATATATAAATGTAGATATAAACAAATCGGAGATGTGTAAGTTCTATTCAGTTGTGTATGTGTAACTAAAGTCTTTGAAAATGTAATAAGTTTTACGAAACGCGTTCAAGTGTCGCGTCAGACTAGAAATAAAAATGAATTTTGGAGAATTGATTTTTGAATTATCACCAACAGTGAAAAGAATGTACGAAAGATTGATAAAATTCGTGTTAGAATTATTAATCTTACTTTTTCGGTCATATTAATAATATATGTCGACAGGAAAGACTGCTACCAATATATATATATTATATATATATATATATATATATCTATATATATATATATATATATATATATATATATATATATATATATATATATATATATATATATATATATATATATATATATATATATATATTATATAATATATATATATATATATATATATATATATATATATATATATATGTATTAGTATATTTTGGTAGCAGTCTTTCTTGTAAACATATGGTATTAAATATGACCGAAAAAGTAAGATTAATAATTCTAACACGAATTATCTCAATATTTCTTATGTTTCTTTTTACTGTCGATGGTAATTGAAAAATCAATTCTCCAAAATTCATTTTTATTTCTCGTCTGCGCGACACTTGAACGCGTTTTGTAATAACTTATTACATTTTCAAAGAGTTTAGTTTACACACACACAGCTATAACCTGCAAACACTAAACAGAGTTTTACTATGCTATCATTTAAACAGCTTTCGTCTTATATACTCGCATTTGGGTGAGGTGATATGTTACAACAGTTTTGGATGAGGTGAACAAAACTTTCAACACAAGACAGAGCAAACTTTCAACACAAGACAGAACACGGTGCAATGGGTATAGAATGGAAGTAACGGCAAAGGGCCTATTGGCCCATATTTCTTGATGCTTCTATATTGGTGCGGAGTCTTAAAGTGGGTAGAATATAGTTGTGCATTAATTGGCTGTTGATTGCTAGTGTTGACGTCTTGATGTGTAGTGCCTCACAGATGTCAAGCCGCCTGCTATGGCTGTATCTATTCATGAATTCTGTGTTTTTTGTTAGGACTTCTCTGGTGATGGTTTGGTTGTGGGAAGAGATTATATGTTCCTTAATGGAGCCCTGTTGCTTATTCATTGTTAATCGCCAGGAAAGAGATGTTGTTGTCTTGCCTATATACAGAGTTCTTTGAGGCTTACAGTCCCCAAGTGGGCATTTGAAGGCATAGACGACGTTGGTCTCTTTTAAAGCGTTCTGCTTTATGTCTGGAGAGTTTCTCATGAGTAGGTTGGCCGTTTTTTTGGTTTTATAGTAAATCTTCAGTTGTATCTTCTGATTTTTGTCTGTAGGGATAACATTCCTATTAACAATATCTTTCAAGACCCTTTCCTCCGTTTTATGAGCTGTGGAAAAGAAGTTCCTGTAAAAATAGTCTAATAGAGGGTACAGGTGTTGTGTTAGTTGT